CCCCCCCCCCCCGAAAAAGAATTTTGATTTCTGTGCATATATTGAAGGGTATATTTGGCATTTCGAAAACCAATATTGGATGAATGAGAAATTACGAAACTGTGCGACCGCATGGTTGGTAAACCGCGCGATCACACGTCAAATTCAATTCCGATTTTTTGAGTAAAACCGTGCGGCCGCACAGTTGTCCGGTGAATAGACACCTTTTCATAAAGGTGCATTGTTTGGAAAGGGTGCATGGTTTGGCCTCAACTATTTCGTCCACACCCTTTCATGGTCTATAAATAAGACCCTTTGGGTGTCCTATTCCTCACAATTTGATATGCAAAACATCTCTCATCCTCTCTTCTATCCAAAATCAAAATCATTTCATTTATTTTGATTTTCCTTCATTTCATCCTTGGAGTACATAAGCCTAAATTTGGTTCGTTGTACTTGTGTTTTGGAGTGTTACAAACACAAGTGTAGCCGTTGTATCTTGGGAGTCGATTGTCGAAATTCGGAGGCACCGTTGCGGGGCAAATTCGACTTAAGGACAAAGAGTCCAACTCTTGCTTCGGCTTTGTCCCTACTTTCTTCTTCTTTTTGTTTGTGTTTTCTTTGCCGTTACTCTGTCCAATTTTCGGCACGAATTTACAAACCATCATTATACTTATTTTGGCATCACTATTCACAAAATTCCTCCAACAATAACTAACAATCTGTTTGAAATGCTTTCACGGCAACTGAGCGATGCAGCAGGTTTCGATTTTCCTTGGCAGAGGCGTCTAGCTTCGAAATGGTTGTGTGATTCATTCCACATGAGAGAGAGTAATATTTTTTATTGAACGCGATAGACATTAAAATGAACTAGAGAGATAAAACAGTATGTTGAATATCAATTGAGGGGTTGTTTGATAACGTTTTAGCCGTTTTTCATAAAAAGATGTGATTAAAATTGAAATCTGATCAAATGAAAACTTGATAAAATTTAAGTATATTTTTTTTAAACAATCCCTAAGGCAATTGATGCATCTAATAAATGTCATCTTGTCCTGTAGATATGAATAATTTGGATTTTTAAACAATAAGTCCTGTTTCGAATTGCTTTTAGAGAATAAATTCGGATTATCAAAGAATTACAAGCTCAACTAAATACAAATCTAAATATGGATTCTATGTATTGCGATTTAGGTGTTCGATTCTCTTTAAATAAAAATGAAAGCAGGTCTAAATATGGATAGAAATGTACATCAGAAAAGAAAATATTAATTTTGCAGAGTTATTCGGTTTAACAGAGCTCCTAAATTTAGATGCCACGTCATTCCTTCTAGCATAGCTTTTCAATCTAGATGGAGCTCTAGATATTTTTTACTTTTTCTTTGTCACATCAGCTTAACGAAGTTTCTTTTAGCTTGCATTAGAGACTATTAATCCAACTAGCACTTTTTAGTTTTATATTGAAATCTCTTTATACACTCATAAGCCAAAAGGTATCAAACAGCATTATTTGGTGCATAATAGCAATAAACATAGGAGACTAAGATTTCACATTCTACCAATCTGGAAAGTGAGAGAGTATCAATTTTGAAAAAGAAACTGTTAAGATTTGGGGTCCATCTTAATAAGGTCAACTTTTTTAAGAGGAGTGTCCCAATCCTTTATATATTGGTCATTATTTCGGTATTTTACCGATGTGAGATTATAAGTTTGGGGTCCATCTTAATAAGATCAACCTTTTTAAGAGGAGTGTCCCAATCCTTTATATATTGGTCATTATTTCGATATTTTACCGATGTAGGATTATATTCCCTTAACATGCCCTCGCAAGATGGTGGCTCGTTTGAGCAAACCAATCTTGAAATCCGTATGCTCATTTTTGAGACTTAATCGGATCGAATAGTTCGTTGGAGTTCACTGGGCTCTGATACCATGTTAAGATTTGGGGTCCATCTTAATAAGGTCAACTTTTTTAAGAGGAGTGTCCCAATTCTTTATATATTGATCATTATTTCGGTATTTTACCGATGTGGAATTATATTCCCTTAACAGAAACTTTCAAAATCTACATCACAGAGATGAAAAAAAATTATGACGAATTTTATTTGCACATATAATTAAGGTATATTCAGAGACATGTTAAACGTTTAATACAATAGTTAGAAAAGATAGGTAGGAATACCTTTATCCAAATCAGACTAACAATCGTTTGAAAATGCTCGATCAATAATCTGTGGTGCAGCAGAGGAGTGGGTTCTCTGATTTATTCAACATGTGTGTGTGTGTGTGAGAGAGAGAGAGAGAGAGAGAGGCCGAGTGGGTTCTACATATGTGTGGGTGAGAGAGAGAAATTTAGTGAACATTGATTTGAGCAATTGATGACTCTAATATGAGCTCTGCTACTCAAACGGGGGCTATTGACGTTTCAGCCCTTTATTAGACAATAGCCTGTCGAATCAGCATTAGTGCTCTAACGTATTTAAATGCGATTTTATCGTCCAACTTTGTCGACACCTTTATAAATATAGCATAACTCATGTATGATTGAAGAGGAAAGTAAAAATTCCTAATCTAATAGTCGACGGGAGAATTGAATATTGATTAATTAATTCTAATCTTTTTAAACGCATAAGATACTGAGTTATCACGTTCTTACCAGCTGGTAGGACTAACAAATAACAATAATAATAAATTCTAATATTACTCACAAACTATATCGATGGACGTTTCATTGGAAAAAAATGATTCCACGAGATTTGAAGATAACTATATGTGCGAAGTGGGTTTGCACGAAGAAGTATATGTAAATAACGATTTTAGTTTATGTTTCACGTTCATGCTTGTAGACATACTGGAAATACACACGATGCACACATTTGGCACGTGTGATTCATAGCCCGGAGGTGCATTTTCCCTTATTGGCTCTAGGAAAGTACTATCTAGTCAGCTCTGGATTTGCACATCAACTTCGATATATAGCATTGTACAAAGGCTAAGATATATTGTATCATTTCTAGCAGTTTCGAGACAAAGCAACAGGTCATGTAAGGAGATGTCAAAATGCTCGCGAGAGGTTCAATTATAGGCACTCATCATGTAGAAATGTAACAAACTTGCATTTTCTGTATTGAAATAAAGATCGAAAATTCTATACCGTATGCTAAACTATTCGTTTCCAAAACAATTTGCAATCGTTGTTGCAACAATGGGTGTACACAACTTCCTTCGATGGTTTGGGGTTGTAGATGAGGCATTCACAAGGGTAGAGACTGATCGAGGTGCTATCGAGGTGGAACTAACGAACGACGTTGATGAGATCCCTACAAAAGTTAGTGCGAAGAAAATGCCTCACAAGGAGTGAGATGGCGTAACGACATTTTAAAATATACTGGTGCAATTATCATGTCTACTGTGCAATCGCCTTTATGCGCATGAGAGTCAATTTGATGTTCTTTTCATGTTACTCGTAGCGTCAATAATGTCATGATCAATTACGAAGCGGGTATTATGTTTTAGTAAAAATCGCTACTCGAGTTTTGCAATGCCAAGAAAAATCTTACAATTGGAAAATCATTTATCAAGTTGTAACAAAAACGTTTGCTCCAGTTGCACAATTATTCTTTTCATGTAGCAACAAGTGTATCAATAATTAAAATAAATAATGAGTACTTAAGTGTATGGATAGAAATCTAGATTTGCAAAAGAGTAATACTATTTTGCAATCATTCACTGTTGTAGTAGTCCTATGTGACATTTATGTAACAAATTATTAAAGGTCACATGTATGCCACACAGAGACACTACGTAATAAGCGACTGCAAATGGTATTATTCTTTGCAAAATAGTCAAATTGTATATTCATTACACTTGGAGAGTAGAAGTAAAAGGGTAGCTAATGGAGTGGGGCCCAATTGAGTTGGTGGAAATGGGTGTTGGACCAATGAATAATGCGTGGTGTACATTATGGATACTATAATGCACACATGGTGCCCCTGCCAAGTGGGCCGGGCGCCCCTCTCATAGGGAGGCGCCATGTGTGCATTATGGACACTATTATGGTGTTCATAATATACCCATAACACAACCCTGGACCAATTGGTGTGAGAAAATTAAAGAGACAATAATGACTGGTTGGAGGCATGCTGGTAAAAAGACAAGGAGAAGGCCCTGTATTATTATAGGGGCCCGTACGTGCAGTAGCCCCCAAAGGCCAAACATAAAGTAGATCCTTCAAGGTTCACATGCAACCGTCCTTTGTTGTCGGAACTTTAATTGAAATTGGACTATTTTGTACTAGGGGCAAATAATCTCTTAAAGTGGACAAAAAATACGGAACAAACAGGCGCTTTAGTTTTTTTTTATTGTAGTTGCTTTTTAAGTCTAATTTATTTGCCTGAATAAAGCATATGATTTTACAAGCATGATTTATCATGGCAATTTTTGGATCTATATATGACACAAAGTGCCCATTTGGCACGATTTTTAAAGTTGAAATAATCTAAAAACAAGTTTTCCAAACAGTTAATCGTGATTGGATAAACCTAATGTCTACCAAATCCAGTCTGTGGAAGATGGAATGGATATGAATGATATGGAATGAATGAATTTTGAGATTTGGAGACAATTTCGTAAGCTGGATTGAGGATTTTTGAGGTTTAAATTTTTAAAATTTTTAATTTAATTTAATTTAATTTTTATTTTATTTTTGGAAGACTTGTGTTCGATGTAATGAGCTATTAATTTGGGAAATTTGTGCAAGGATGGTGGAATTAATTATATGGATTGTTTAGTGGAGTAATAAACGCTTTTTAATTTGATCAATATTAGGAGTGAAGTTATATTGAAGATATCATTTTTACTTTGATAATATATATAGTATTAATGGGATTAAGAATGATGTATTGTATTGTTTGAATATTTTATTAAAATAATGTATGTAGTGTAATTTCCACACTTTTAATATCCAAATGTTTCTTTTGGGCCCGTATTATTAATACCAAAATGTCGCACAGTGAGTGGGATCATCTTCGTGATTATACAGCGCAACGAACTGAAGAAAAATATGTATTGGTCAAATTATCATGTCTATTGTGCAGTTGTCTTTCTATGCATGAGAGGCAAGCTGTTGTTCTTTTCATGTTACCCGTAGCATCAATAATGCATGATCAATTACAAAGTGGTATCGCTACTCGAGTTTTACACTGCCAAGAAAAATCTTACAATCTGAAAAATGATTGATCAAGTTGTAACAAAAACGCTTGCTCCAGTCACACTGTTGTTCTTTTCATGTAGTAACAAGTGTATCAATAATTTAAAAATAATAATAATAATAATGCGTACTTAGGTGCATGGATAGCAATCTAGATTTGCAAACTGGTGAAATTGTATATTCATTACGCTTGGGGAGTAGAAGTAAAAGGGTAGCAAATGGAGTGGGGCCCAATTGAGTTGGTGGAAATGGGTAGGGATAGCAATTTGAACCGTGAAAATCGAAAACCGCGGTTAACCGAACCGAATGGGGCGAAAAAAACCGAACCGATGATGCAATGGGGCGGGTATGGTTTTGATTTTAGTAAATCGGTTCGTGGTGGTGCGGTATGGTATTTACGCCGTCGAACCGAAACCGAACCGATTACCCACTAAAAAAAAAGAGCAAAAAATAAAAATTTATTCCCTGTTCACGGTGGGCAAAAATTATGTTACCCACCTACCCACATCGGCAGGTCAAACAAATATTTTTTTTTTTTTTTTTTTTTTCCCAAAAAAAAAAAAAAAAAAAAAAAAAAAAAAAAAAAAACACACACACACACAAAAAATTGAATTGATTTGATTATTAGGCTTTACACTACTTTTCTATCTAGCCCAAAACAAAATCCCCCCATTACATCTACCTAACTCAGCCGACCAATCCATTCACCATTAACCCATAATAATAGTATTAGTATGACAGCATATAAATGCAAACCCTACTTTCCACAAACCATAAACTCACGCACGGCTCATTTTATTATTAATTTTTTCTATTGTGTGTAGAAAATTCTACTTCTTCATTATACTCTAGAGCTTGTGCAACGTTTAGCGGGAAAGAAGCTGATGAAGATGTACATTTTCTTTAATATTAGTTAAGACCATTCTGAATAGGCAGTATCGTTATATTCTCTACTTATATTTCTTATTTACTAAATAAGAATCAACTTTGAGTGCTGATCTATGCTAGTAAGACTTGTGGGGAAGAATGAATCAAGTAACTTCAATACACAACAATTAAGAATAAAGGAAAAGTTTAGTATTGTTATATTTATAATATTGTTTGTTAAATTTGTATTTTACAATTGAAAATTGGAATAATGTTTGTATTTTCGTTTGGAATATTGTTTGATAATGTTTGCATTTTCGTTTGGAATATTGTGTTTTTGTTTTCATTAACTTCTTTCATAAATTATTTTATATCAATTTGACGGATTAACCTATAAAAAAAAACAATTTATTTTCGTGGTTAATAACCGAACCGAACCGATTTACGTGGTTATGGTGCGGTTATGGTATGGTCAAAATATTGGTGGTGCGATTATGATTTTAACCGAATCGATCCATAATCGAACCGTTGCCAACCCTAAAAATGGGTGTTGGACCGGTTGGTGTGGAAAAATTAAAGAGACAATAATGAGTGGTTGGAGGCATGCGGGTAAAAAGGCCAAACATAAAGTGGTTCTTCAAATTTCGCATGCAGCCGTCCTCATCGTTGGAACCTTTAATTAATTGAAATTGGTCTATTTTGTAGAACGGGCAAATAATCTCTTAAAATGGACAAAAAATATGGAACAAACGCTTAATAGTTTTTTATTGTAGTTGCTTTTTAAGTCTAATTTACTTGCCTAAATAAATATGATTTATCGTAGCAATTTTTGGATCTATATATGACATAAATGGTCTGTTTGGTATGACTTTTAAAGTCCAAATGAACTTTTAAAACCCAAATATTTCTTTGAGAAAATTTCATAAGTAAGAGTTTAACTATCATACATTTCAAAATTAAGAAAACGAGTTTCAAACTTTAAAAATCAGATTTTTATTAATTTTTATTTATGATTTAATTAATTAATTAATTAATTATTTTATTGATTAAATATATTTAGATCACTGATCAATACAATTTGGTCACAATTGATGATTTAGTTATTTAGTTATTATTTTTTGATCACAAATCAAAAATTTTATGTCAAGTTATTTAACGATAACAATTCGAAAATTTTATAGGTCACAGTTTGTTCATTGGTTACAAATAAAAAAAATTATAAGTCACGATTTATTTATTGATCACAAATCGCAGATTTTTGAAGTCACGACTTATTATGCAGTCACAAATTATCAACTTATCGATCACAGATTAACAATTTCTTATGTTACACGTTATTTTTTTGTCACAATTTATATTTTTAATTGGTCACATATTGTTTATTGGTCACAGATTAACCAATTTAACGATCACATCAACCAAATAATTTGTAACTACCACCAACACTTGTGACCACCATTTCACCACCAAAACCACCACCACCAATTCTCGACAGTTGGACAGTTGGTCACGATCCCCAAATAATGGGTTACAAACACTTTCTTACTATACTGCCACCACCATCACCCCCCGCCACAACCATAAACTACCATAAAAACCACCTCTTGTGACCACCACTAGCACCACTATCCCCACAACCGTCGGAACATCACCCCCACCATAACCACAGTCAATACAACCCAAACACATAACACTCACGCCACCACCGCCGCACACACCACCACCTCCAACACCACATGACCATTTTTGAATAGTGTAATAATGTGAAATGTGTGGTCAAAAATAAAAAAAAAAGTTTTATAATTTCATTTAATATTATTTTATTAAAAAATGTGTGATTGAAATGATGTCAAAACACCATTTAAGAATATATTTTTTCTAAAAAAAAAAGGGCTCAAATAAGGGCTAAAAAGATAATAATGAGTGGTTGGAGGCATGGGACTGAAAAAAAGGCAAAACATAATGTAGATTCTCCAAATTTCACATGCAACTGTCCTTTATTGTCTGGATCCTTTAATTAGCCCCATTTGATAACATAAAGTAGATTCTCCATGTGAAGATTATCCAAATTTCACATGCAACCGTCCTTTATTGTCTGGACATCTTGATTAAATTTCACATGCAACCGTCCTTTATTGTCTAGACCCTTAAATTAGCCCCATTTGATAACATAAAGTAGATTCTCCATGTGAAGATTCTCCAAATTTCACATGCAACCGTCCTTTATTGTCTGGACCCTTTAATTAGCCGCATTTGATAGCAAATTTTCATTTTTATGAATCAATTTTTAACTTTTATTTTATTATTTCAATCTTTATTTTTTACTTTTTCACTCGAGTAAATTTAACCAATAATCACTGAACTTTACACTTGATTACTACTTGCTCACTCATCTTTCACATATTACTGTATGCTCACTCATCTTTTCATATAATTACTCATTCATCACTCGTCTCTTCAAATAATTGGGCGACTTTTACGACAAATTTTCGACAACTTCCGACCACAAAAAATGTCGAATTTTGATATCGTTGGAAAGCCCACAATGTCCTCTTCAATTACCATCCAAAATTTCCCCATAACTCCAAAGGATTCGATCGGAATAAACTCACAAAGTCAGCATCCCGAATTTTGTCCAGATTTTCGCCTTTTCAAGGTGCTGATTTTGTGGGTTTATTCCGATCGAACCCTTTGGAGTTATGGGGAAATTTTGGATGGTAATTGAAGATGACATTGTGGGCTTTCCAATGGTATCAAAATTCGATAGTTTTGATGGTCGAAAGTTGCCGAAAAATTGCCTTAAAAGTCGTCAAAAAATCTGAAAATCTGGGCAGATTTTCAAAAATTTTGGGCAACTTTTAAGGCAATTTTTCGATCGAATCCCTTGGAGTTATAATGAGATTTTGGGTGGTAATCGAAGAGGACATCGTGGGCTTTCCAACGATATCAAAATTCGACATTTTTTGTGGTCGGAGTTGTCGAAAATTTGCCGTAAAAGTCGCCCAATTATTTGAAGAGACGAGTGATGAATGAGTAATTATATGAAAAGATGAGTGAGCATTCAGTAATATGTGAAAAATGAGTGAGCAAGTAGTAATCAAGTGTAAAGTTCAGTGATTATTGGTTAAATTTACTCTTTTTCACTCACAGGTAAAACCCATTTTTCTCTTTACGATCAAAAAATCAATTCTCATAATTTCTACCGAATAGGCCCTTAATTGAAATTGGACTGTTCTGTACAACAGGCAAATAATCTCTTAAAATAGACAAAAAATATGGAACAAATAGGCGCTTAATAGTTTTCTATTGTAGTTGCTTTTTAAGTCTATTTTACCTGCCTGAATAAAGCTGTATACTAGCATGATTTATCTGGCAATTTTTGGATCTATATATGATATAAAAGGCCTGTTTGGCATAATTTTTACCGTCAAAATGAACTTTTAAGACCCAAATATTGCTTTTGGACCCATTAGATTAATATGGAAATGCTGCGTCGTGAATGGGATCGTCTTCACGAAACAGCATTGAAGAAAAAATTCCATTGGTTAAATTATGAAAATGTTTTCGGTAGTTACAAGATTATAGAGAAAGTTGATATAATATCACCTTCTCTAAAAGCACTTTTGAAATAGAAAGTACTTTTAAAAATTTGTTTCCATCCAAAAATTAAGGTATCTTTTTTTAATACCTCTTCTATAAGTAAAAGTAAAAACAAAAATCATGTCAAATGGACTTAAAATTTGTTTATTAATTTCATGTCTCTTGCAAAATTGTAAAACGTGAAATTAGAGTTGCAAATGTGTGGAATGATACACACGAATTAATAATCAATGCTCTTCCCCACCACTTCAATTATGCACGTTAAGATAAGGGACAACCTCCTTAAAACACATTACTTTTTCTCTCACGTTGATTAAAATCAGTAAATCACATAAACTAGTTTTTCACATCGAAGCCAAATAAATCGTGCTGCTCCGCTCAGTTCATGATCAATATTGTTCTTAGGAAAGGATTTCAGAACAGATTTTGTTATTTTGATTCCGAAACGGTAATCCTACTCATCTTTGTATTGATTTTTTATTTTCATTAACTCTTATTTGTCTGAATAAATCTTTACTTTACTGTATTATGAAAGTCAAATTTGTCATCTGAAATTTTCGGATATCTTTGTTTTTATTTGAGATTTTTCTGTCTCGATATGTAGTATGCCTGTGAAACATCTGAGTTAAGGATAGATACATAAACTATAAGAAAAGGTACACAAATAATACTTGATTTCGATTAATGCACTCAACTTAACCTCCTTTAGTCAATAGGACAGAACCAGTAGGCTCAATGAAATGATTTTAGAAGAAACTATACATTTACAGTGTGATAGCCACGTGCACTGAGAAATTTAAATTAAGTTCTGTTGGTTTAAAATTTAGATTTTAATTTGAATCAAAGTAAAAAATTAATTTTAATCATATTTTTTATGTGATTAATAACTTTTTAATTTCATATTTATTAACTTTCATCATAATCTGTTAAAAATTTGATATAAATCTCCACTAACAAAAGTTAAGTAAATAACTTAATTTATGAATGAAAGTTAAAAATAAGTAAGATGTATTAGTAGCTTTTTAAAAGGTAACATTCCAATTTAACCCATATTTTGTCTTCTTCTAAAACAAAACTCTTTAATTCTCATACATTTTTTCTTCCAATTATACATTCACACAATAAAATATTTTACACATAAATCCAAAACTTTTACTTACATTTTAACCTCAAATTCTCAAAAAAAAAAAAAAAAAAAAAAAAAAAAATTACTATTATTTTTTTTTTTTTTTAATTTTTGGGTTAAAATTTAAAAAAAAAAAAAAATAATAGTAATTTTTTTTTTTTTTTAATTTTTGGGTTAAAATTTAAAAAAAAAAAAAAAAAAAAAAAAAAAAAAAAAAAATTACTATTAAAAGCATCATTTTTCTCGATAATAACTATCACACAGGGGCTTAATATTAAGAGAAAAAAGTTGTACATACATAATTGTAAAGAAAAATTAAATTACTTATAATTAAATGAGAAAAGTTACAAATACGTAAATAAATAAATTTTAAAATAAAAAATATTTTTGTTAATTAACAGTTAGAGCATCTCCAAGACTCTTTATTTATGAAGAATATTTATGTATTATAGAGAGTATTTTCAAATTTAAAGAGTATAAATTTTATACACTCCAACAAACTCTATATTTTGACTATTCTTTTGCTTTTCTCAAGAAACAGCTATCGATTTTTCTTCATATTTTATTTAACATAATTTTTTTATGTCAATTGACCAATCAATTTAAATGTAGTTTGAATAGTTTAAGAAATTGAGTATTGAAATATATGATTTGTTAAATATAATCATTGCACATTAACAATAGAGAGCGAGTTAAACCCACTTTCAATTTTAAAAAAGTTAAGATAGATCGTCTCTTGGAGTTCATTTTTAAGCATTGACTCTAAAAAATAAAGAACCATTATATTTAATCGAATCTTTAATTTAAGCATTATATTTAATCGAATCTTTTTAAGCATTGACAACATTTTTAAGCATTGACTCTAAACCATTATATTTAATCGAATCTTTAATTTAATGCCACAAATGTTGTCACCTCGACTACTAATGTTAAATGTTAATGGTGCTAGATAGTATTACTATTTTTTTTTTTTTTTAATAATTTTGGTAGGCTTGAAAAATTCAACCCAAGTTTTCTGTTCTCTCATTAGAGTTATTGTTTGTCAATCCAGATGACAGAAACAGGGCGTGAAATGGCTCCTTCAACAAACAGTCTGAGGAAACTTTTTGAAAATCGATTCGAGAACGAAAGGATTGAAAAGTTCGATGGTCAAGGACAACTCGCTCTAATTGTTGCCCAGTTTATGATAAAAATGTGCGACGAAGATGCTGAAGTAATTGCTTTGCTAAAGAGAATTGACGATTTGGCGAGGAATTGCTCAGGTTCCAGCCAACGTAGTGAAGAATACAGAAACTTTTCCAAAATGTTTAGCTTTTTCATGACGGACCTTGAAGTATTCTTTAGAGTCCAGAATTCCATGCGGACTCCCATTAATCGTAATGAGCTTGTTGCGGTCTTCATTGACCTTTTCCTCGAAATTTTAGAAGAAATACTTCGCCTTCAGCCAACTTTCATTCGTCGTGTCGAGGATTCAATTAAAACTCTTAAGATGGAGCTGAAATTTCTGATCACCTTTGTTGGGGACACACCATCTCAGCCCACTGAATTCCATACAACCGAGGATGTATTAACAGATATTGAAGTTGCGGCCAATGATGTGGGACGTTTCTTATATACTTTCTTTTTCAACAGAGACCGTATTTCGGTGACTGATATGAATCAGAATCTTTCGCATTTGTTGGAAAATCTGAAGCTCGTGACAGAAAAGATAATAGCACACTGCAACACAATCCTGCCGACGTTACCAAGTTGTAGGACCCAAAATACTGATGTGGTTTCGCTCTTTCTTGTTGATTCAAGTCTAGACGATCTCAAGAATGTAATGAATCACAAAGATGACAGGATTGTTTCTGTGAAGGCCCAAATTCAAATAATTCATCATCAGCTAATGGGCTTGCGAACCTCGCTTGCAGGCATAGGAGAAACGATATTCAGAACTTGAAGAGTTTTTTATACGAATTAGAGACATAGCATATGAAGTTAAATATGTTGTCAGCTCATTTTCTCCAGTGCAGTATCTCACAATCAGGCTTCCTCAAGTAATTGAGAAGATTAAGCTTGTTAAGATACAACTACAGGAAATGGAGAAGAAATATGATGCTGGACTGCTAAAGGATGAAGAATATCCAAGGCAACAAATGCTATTGCAAACTCAAACACCTGACAAAGGAGACATTGTTGGCTTAGAGGATGAGGTGGACAAAATTAAAGAGCGACTTCTTCGAGACACAAAGCAGCTACAATTTATTTCCATTTTTGGGATGCCAGGACTTGGCAAGACTACTTTGGCGAAGAAACTATATGATGATCCCTCGATTGTTCGACATTTTGACAAGCGGGCCTGGTGTGTTGTCTCTCAAAATTATCAAATTAGAAATATCTTAATTGACATCTTGACGTCAATGGATGTCCTTAACGAAGATGCAAGGAAGGTCGCGGATGAAGGTACATTGGGTGAAGCACTTCACAAATGTTTATTGACAAGTGGAAGATACATCATTTTCATAGATGATCTATGGAATGTGGACGCATGGAATCAACTTCAAACATACATTCCAGACGGTAGAAAAGGAAGCAGAATATTGTTCACCACTCGGGATGAAGATTTTGCTTCCGAAGCTTCAAATTTTTCCAAAGCTTCACTCATGGAAAATAATGCTCTTAAATGCTTGACTGATGAAGAGTGTTGGCACTTATTGCAGAGGAAGGTTTTCCAACAAAATTCATGCCCTGAAAATTTGATAGTCGCTGGAAAGGAAATTGCAAGAAAATGTGGTGGATTACCACTTGCAGTTGTTGTCATAGCTGCAGTTCTCACCAATATGGAGAAGGAACCAAAGTTATGGGAGGATGTTGCGAAAAGAATAAGTTCACACATGGCTAAAGAGTCAAACAAGTACATGAACATACTTAAGCATAGTTACTATTCTTTACCTATGCATTTGAAACCATGTTTTCTTTACTTCGGAATTTTTGAGGAAGAGAGGGAAATTGAGGTCCGGAAGTTGATATCACTATGGATTGCCGAAGGGTTTATCGGGAAAGTAGAGAAGAATAGAAGGGAGACTGTAGCACAGATGTACCTGGAACATCTCATTAATAGAAGCCTGGTACAAGTTGCTCAAAGAAGGCGTGACGGAGGACTCAAAACTTGTCGTATACATGACCTATTACGTGATATGTGCCTGCGAATTGCTAAAGAACATAAATTTATGAAGGTGATCCAAAAGTAGGCTCTCTCTCTCTCTCTCTCTCTCTCTCTCTCTCTCTCTCTCCCCCTCCCTTCCCCCCATTCCTTTTGTCTTGTTTTTGTTTATATATATGCGTACTAACGATTGTGACAATATGGCGATCATGTCAATGTTGCTGTTGTTGCCGGTGATGTTTTTGTGCTATTATCCTGTAATGCTTGACGATGCTACGTTGTCGTTCTTCAGTAGACTGTCGATATATGAGCAATACCAACGCCTAAGCATTCACTCTCGCTCAATTCCTTCTTTTTCGAGACCGTTTGGACTGCATGTTCGATCCTTATTAGGACATTTACCTGATCCCTCCACATTCATCTTTGGCAACTTAAAACTTCTTAAGGTATTGGATTTGTCAAGCATGGACTACAGATTTTATAATTCTACACGAGTAGAGCATTTGGTTCTCTTAGGGTTCTTGGCAGTTTCTTCTATACCATCATCAATAGAGAAATTTGAGAACCTAGAATTTCTTTTTGTGGATAATAGCGAAATAGTTGAAATACCAGAGAACCTTTTCAATATGGTGAAGTTAAGACACGTGTATTTCAGTGGTGGTGCACAATTCAGTAAATCCTGGCGTGAGCGAGCAGCTAAGGGTGAGACATTCCCAAAAAGTATCCTACAAAGAATTTCTTATATTTCCATTGATGATGAAAATGATGAAAAAATCTTGAGATACTCACCTAATCTCCGAAAACTGAAATGCACTTTTGCAGTATTTTTTGATTCATCAGAAAACAACTATCGCTATCCTATCTTGAATTTCCTTAGTCAGCTGGAATCCCTCAGCATATATCTTCGTCGGAGTTATGTTATAGATAACCCCTGTCTAGATTTGACCGATTTACCCTCGAAACTAATAAGGTTGACTCTCAGTAACTTTAATTTATCTTTGGAGCAAATGAAGATGATTGGAAATTTACTTGATCTAGAGGTTCTCAAGTTACGAGATGGTACCATTGAGAGAAAAAGATGGGACACAAGTGAAGGTGAATTCAAAGAACTCAAATTCTTGGAACTGGATGAAGTACAAATTGAACAATGGAATACTTCAAGCGATCATTTTCCTAAACTTGAAAGATTAGTGTTGCGAAGCTGCCAACTTTTGGAGATCCCTTCTGATATAGGCTTTTGTGATCATCTACTAAAGATTGAGGTACATGGTTGCGAGGAATCTGTTGAACTCTCCACTTTGAAGATTAAAGAAGAGCAAGAAGATTACAGAGATGATCTGGAAGTCATTATCTCCCACTCCCGATAAGAGTCTTTCTTACGTAATTTATTTTTGTAAATTTTTTTTGGAGGTCTCTTCTCTCGACATTCAGATTTAACATTATGCACTGTTTTTATTTCTTGCATTTTCTGGTGTTCATCCTCATTTGCTCAATTACTACATTATTTGTACTGAAAAGGATGTTAAACGTTATTTGTTGAAGCTTTATTGATGAATAACATTTGCTCAGTCACGACATTTTTATGTATATATATATACCTGTCAGTTTTCCAGGAAGGGCTTTATTTTAAACAACTTATGAGAACAAATTTTATTGCCAATCTACTCACTGATGCACACTGTAATTACCATGCTAATCCTATTTCTAATTATCTTCCTTTCCTTGATTAGTTCGCCCACTACACCCCAATATTGACACTCTGCCTTCTCCTCTTATGCTATAACTGAATCGAAATAACTTCAATGTAGGTTTGAAGTGTTAATTCTTTCTCCAGAAATTGAATTTACCATATGTCAGCCCATATATATACCTATATTAGTGGCCCAAATTCAATAACCGAAAGCATAATAATATTCACAGCTATCACACGAACTCATTTCCTATCCCTTCCCCCTTTCTTCTTTAATTAATTTAAGCGCTTTTCTCCTTTTCGTCCATTTAGCATCTTTTTTTTTTTTTTTTTAAAAAGCAAAAAAATAAAAATAAAAATTCTCTTTATAAATATATACTACTTACCGCTACCGTCTTCAACTTCTAATTATTTTCCTTTGTCATCAATTTTTCCTTGTATATTTAATACTTTCAAGAATTGCACTTTTATATAAGTAGAAAATATAAAAGTCTTGCTTAAATCCAAAATTCTTTACTTTACCGTAACAGAAATCAAAAAAAGAAGCTTGAGCTCAACAACTTCTCTGTTTCAATCACTGTTGACAGAAAATGAAATAAGAAGCTTGAGGTCAACAACTTCTCTGCTTCAGTTTCTTTTGCTTTGCTCAAACAAAACAAAATAACGAACAATATCAAGAGACTATCTTTGCTTTCTTATCAATGTTTATCGTCTTGATTACCTTGTTTCTCCCCACTAGACTCCATTCACTGTTAGCATGAGATGATCCTATCCCTACTGATAAGTTTCTGCAATCTGTTGTTAAACAACAAAAATTAAAAATACCATCACGTCTAATCGAGGTCCACATTTATTGATTATCCTAGCTTTCACTATGCACTAACCGATAAATAAATAGCAGATTTCAAAACTTCATCTATTGCTCATTCTTTTCTATTCTCCCATTTCAGTTCACTGATGCAGAGAACCCATACATGTTTCTATTTTCCATCCCATTTCTCCTTTCACGTTATCTTTTATTAAGGCTAATTCATATCCAATTGCAATCACTTTCTTATCGAAAATAATTACTGTAATTGGAAGATGAAACAAGAAACTTAAAGGATGAGTCCCGTCATCATCATCATCATAACCCTAAATCATCATCATCATCATATCAATTACAATTGTCCAAATCCATTAATCAGAACTCCCTTAATTCATTCTACGCAATGGAAATCACAACCCAATTCATCTCTTTTTCTATTCACTATACATAAATATCTACCTATATAATACTTTACAATTTAAACATTGAATTAACAGTGAAAATGAAGCAACCCCACTTAGCACCAAAATTAAATTCTTCGTCACCATAAATCTACCTTGTTTCTCCATTATATCAATTTATCATCTCTTCCCCCTATCATTTTTTCGATTTCACACATGTATGTACACGTAAAACATTAATAGATTCCTGAAATTGTAAAATTTCCTTACCTTATGCTGGAATTTAAGAGCGAAAGAGGACAAGCTCGAAAGTCCCCTTTCCATTTCCTCCGTCCTAGGTTAACCGATTCTTCTTCTTCTTTTCCCACCATTTCCCTTAGTTTGCTGTACTGCCATATAAGATTTCATTGCCCTCAATTTCATCCTCTCTTTAACTAATCATTTTCTATCTCCTTAACTTCCGATTTTCTACACCACCAAGTAACCTGCCAAATAATTTTTCCTTCTCTAATCTCCATTTGTCCCATCTTTCTCATTTTAGTAACCCATTATTTAATTCCTCAAGACAATCATAATCCTATCACACATTCTTCTCCAAGTACACATGTATCACTAGATTTTTCAATCCTCAGCACACTCGTAAAAGAACCTGGTAATCAAATAGACAACTTATTTAGGTGGTTTTGCACCATTAATTCAAATGTATCTACGCTGGAAATATGCCAAAATCGTCAAAATCCTTTGTCCAAATTTATTGCCTCTTCAACAATGTATTCTTCATCTATTTTATGTTGCATTTACATAGAATCAACGCCAATAGTAATCCTTTCAACAGTAGGGTCATTCTCAACATTTTCATGTCCGGGTTATTTCTCAACCTATGATACAAATGCTTACATCATCTCAACTTCCACGTCTTCTACTTTACATTTCGATAGCAATATGAATTCTCCAGCACAACATTAGAGCCCGTGAACTTTACCACCACACCACATGATTAACAATCCCAATGAACATTTTATGGTGAAAGAAGAAATTCATAAACTATTCGAGCTTAAAACAATCATTGAACCTGGCTCTGATACCAAACTGACACGACCCATCTCGAGCCACCCCAGTGGACCCGAAACGTGACATGCGCTAATGGTGGATTCCAACTGGATGCTAATCCCACCATCAAGGCTATCTTTGACCTTTTACTGGTCATTCTAAATAATGAAAAGCTATTTTATGTCAAACGAATGTTAGCCCAAAGTGATATTTACATGCTCAATTCAAGTGACACAATAACCTAAACCGTCATGTGGTTGTGGCTCTAAAATCAACAAGCTATTCAAGCTGCCAAGACTCAGTTGCTACCTGTTAGAAAAAATCATGAAAAAATATATGAGTTGATAGTTTAGTGAGTGGAGAATTTCGAAAGTAATTGTACTTTCTCATTTTGTACATATTTATCGAAAATCGAGTTCATCATCACTTGACAGTTCACAATATGATATCATACAACAATAATCAAGATTTGAGATATTCTTATAACATAGAAAAATATCACCTCATAGTCATGATATGATCATGAACTTAAATCTATACTGTCATCTCCTCACATCAAATGTATTGGAAAATTCACCAAAAATGTACCATCTGACTCGTATCTGTAATTTGATCATACGTGCTCAGATTGCCCCTCAGGCTAAGCACTCTCGACAAAGGCCTCAAGCCCTCTTAGTAAATGGAAACGGGTCTTAAAGACCTCTCATAATCAATTTTAGAATACAGCCAAGGCCCCTCAGTAAACTATATATACACGGTCAAGACACCTTCATTCACGGTCAAAACCCCTCGATGTAGTATAGAATACCGTCAAAGTCCCTCAGTGAACTAGAAATATATAATCACGAAGACTTTTCTGATCGATCTCAATTTCACATATGTCTCACATTCCAATAGACAAATAATTCATATAAAATCTTTGAAATTCCACGTCTCATGGTAAAAGAAACTTTCCATAATAATCTTGTAATCAAACAAATAAATGCACATAATTGCACATAATGTAATAGAATAATAAATTTATCAATACTTGAAAATATTTAAGTTTGTTCGTTTTTCCACTCATTAGACTATGTAATGGATGGAGATTAACTTGATTGATAAACTATTCCGAGATCTCCTTATCATTTCCTGAAACACAAGATTATATTCCAGATAAGTCCCTATTAACCATGGATAAATAAATTTTTTGTATGTTACACAACCTATCCCCCACCATGACTTCTTTCTTTTAAAGTATTCATACACATCTTCCCTTGTATGTTAACACTTCAATTTCCAAATTTCTAGCTTAATCTTTGCAATTCACACATCGACACACAGACACGAGCCTTTTCACTCTTTTCCCTTCACTTAATTTGAAATCCTTCATCACCTTAATCTTTTTCTCCCATTAAAATTTCTCACAAAAATTGGGACACCTGTACACATAAATATGAGCAATGCTACAAGTACTGCAATTTTGATATCATGGTTGACAGCCCTCTCACTCACAAGAGGTTGGCACATGATTAAAATAATCGTGGGATCCACGATTGTGAGAGGGATGTATGTGTTATGGTTGGAGCCCAATTTTTTGTAAAACTCAACCAATAACAAGCAACAGTAGACACAAGAGGCAGAATATAAATTGTAATAACCCAAATTGAATAACATAAAGTGAAATTACTAACAATAACAACTGGTCTTCATCTTATAAATGGACAATACTATTACAATGCAAAATGTTACAACTATAATATAGACCAGCAGAGAAAGAGATAGACTAGTGGAGGAAGAAGAAACAGAAAAATTCAGAGATGAGGAAGCATGAGAAACAGAAGAGAATATAGGAGAAGAAGAATTTACCAGAAAAGGAGAAACACAAAAAGCAGAGAGGAAAAGAAGAAGAAGAACCGGAGGCACCGAGAAGAGGCAGAGAAGAGGATAGACGACAGTAGTCAATTTCAATTCATCAATTCGATCGATTATTCTAGATGTACAGAATATTTCTCACAGAAGTTGTACTGAATTTTAAAATACGTCTGACGTGGCAAGAGGAAACGAGGGAAAAATTTGGTTCTTACCTCAAACCCGCCATTTCTCTTGTTTCGTCCCCAAACTGGAAGCCCTAAAGGTGAAGCTGAAGTGGAGAAGTTTGGTGCTCCACTTCTTGTCCGACCTCCAGGCATCGGAGCTGCAGCATTTCACTCTCTAAGAAAAATTTGGTTTTTTACCTCAAACCCGCCATTTCTCTCGTTTCGTCCCCAAACTGGAAGCCCTAAAGGTGAAGCTGAAGTGGAGAAGTTTGGTGCTCCACTTCTTGTCCGACCTCTAGGCACCGGAGCTACAACATTTCACTCTCTGAGCGACAGTCATTATTTTTAGCCGTGCGAGCGACTTCGCTGTCTTCTCCAGTCTAGCGATGATTTACTACACCACAGACAGTAGTTGCCGAAATCCAGGTTCTATTTAGCTTCATGCTTTGATTTTGAACACCAATCGCATAAAATGAACACACACACACCACAGAATCTTCGTCGAATTTTGGGGAAAAAATTATGCTGCCATTTTGAACACAAACACACGCATGTACATGAATGTTGCTGGCAAATCTTCCTCGACTGCAAAGGAATGAACACACGTACATGAATGCCATATAT